ATGACGAAAGCATAATGAAGACTACATGATCAAAGATTAAGTAACGAGATAAGCCGTCAAAAATGAAGAATGTATTATGATATTTGAGCATGCATTTTTTACAATGAAGAATTGTAAAATTGAGAAGAATAATTTAGGTAATAAAATCGAATTAAAATTGACGAAGCTATCTATCATTAGAGCATAAAAAGGCTGTTTTGAGAAAACATTTGGTTAATCGGTATAGATAAAGTTGTTTTTTTATAGATAAAATATAGTTAAAAAACATTACTTTAAACTATTAAAGCTATATTATCCTCAATCCAATAAGGCAAATATATCAAGATAGTGGCTATTGGGAGACGCTATTATTTTTGTTATGATTTTGCACATCACATATTTTTTTTTAAAAAATAAGGTCATTAAATGAAAATAAAATTGACGAAGTTAGAATCTTTAGTGTTGTTTGGGCTTATTTAATTCCTAGTTGCGTAAATACAAAACATTACGCATTTTGTTTCGATGCAAAACTTACCTGTATGTTTACCTTCCAGCTAAACTATGGTAAAAACAATTTAATTAATTATATAAATACTGATTGAATTTTTAAAAACACATTAGGGGTATTTTTTAAACAATTTAATATATTTTTCAAAACTTACAAAATTTAAAAGTTAATGCTTTAACGTTTCAGGGTTATTTATAAGTTTTAATTAAACTTTTATTTTAATCTCAATTTTTTTTTAGAAAACAAATGTTTCATTTTCTTGTTTTAACAAATTTTCAAGTAACTGTTATTTTCATATCAGTAACGCATTTATTAAAACTATTAATTCAAGGAAATAATATCAAGCTAGCATCTTTTATTAATATATTATATCTCCAAGAATACCTTTGTTCTAATCTCCGTATCCCTTTAAAAATATCCAAAAACAGATATTTTCTAAATCACAGAGAAAAAAAAACTAATTCAAATCCTTCAGTTTCTCAGAAAATAACGATTTTTCCTTTTCTCCTTACATTCCTTAATGTATTCCAAAATCAGTAAAAATTAAATAAAAAGTAATAAAAAAATAAAATTCTGAAAAAAAAAAAATCCGTAGTGAAATGGAAATTGTCGTAACACTTCAAACAAAAAAAAGGGGGAAGTTTATGAAATCTGGAATAAAAATCTTAAAAATCAGGATATATTTACTGAAAAGTCATCAAATTCTTGCCTGCCCCCCACCCTGTCTCATAAAAAGAATGACGGGGGAGAGACAGTTTATATGGGGGCGGGGGGAGTAAGGGGTTGTGAATATCCGAATACCGTTTTACCTTTATTTTGATGAGGAATATTTAGTGTACTCAAATCTATGTAGTCCCGTAGGATGCAAAGACGTTGTCACGTGACCTCAAGGGAGAAGCATTAGGGCGGACAGGGGGCAGCACGATCAAAAACCCATAATCTTAATTTGAATACCAAATCAGCAAACGGAATTTTAAAATAACTCGCGGGATATTGAGGTAAAAGCGAAAAAGGCAACCTCACAATATATGCGTAATAAGATTTTTTTTAAGAATGGAACAAACTTTTTTTTTTCCGTTTCCCCATCGGTATTTGATTGAAAGCGAGTTTTAAAAATATTTTTGATCTTTCTCATTCATTATATTTTCCATTTGTGATTTTTTTTCTATTCTCCGTCGAAGATTATTTAAACTTGAGTAAATATTTTAAGTAGATTTTATTTTTCGAAATACTAAGTTATATTGACTTGGAATAACTAAACAACAGTAGTTTTTTTTCTCTGGTAAAAGAAAGAAGCTAATAAATGGAACATCTAATCACAATCTATTTTAAGTTAAAAAGAATTTTTCTATTTTAAAAGAGTAAGAGATATATTCTAAGAGGGATTATTATTTTTTTTAAATATTTTTCGCTTGAAAACGGCATGGAATTTAAGCTGTTTGCTTTCCATAAATTAAGACAGTATATTTAATTTTATACACACGCAATTTTTTTTAATTAAATACACTGTTCAATACAGTGAATTTGAATAAAATTAAATCTCTTTCTTTAATTTTTAAAATTTTAATAAAAAACTTATTGCAACCTGTTTTGCACGCAAAAACATTTTTCAAATCTTGATGGTGTAAGTTTTAGAAAAGTTTTACGGATAACTAGTTAGTTTCATATTTATTTTAGAATACTTTTATTTCCACTTTTTTATATAACATTCATTAGGTTATCAGTTTGAAGGAGATAATAAAATAGTAAGAAGGAAAATTTAAAGTATGAAGTATACTCATTTTTTTGTGGTATTTAGTAAAAGCACCAACAGTAATAAAATCTATTCCAACTGTAAAACCTTAGAGAATAAGCTATAAAACCAGCAATTTAGAATATTCTAACAAATAAAACCCCACAATGAATAAGGTCAGCTTATGAAAAATAATCATCAAAAGAGGCTTCTATTGCCTTGCTTAAACTATAACTCCGACATTAAAAAAAATCATATTTTTAGTAGTAAGTTACGTTAAATTTCTTTTAGCGAAATGTTACATGATATTATATGTTCTTTTAAAATGTTTTTATGAATTATTTTAAACTTGTTACATTGAAAAAAATCCACATGAAATACTTGGAATTTACAGAGATTTCTTTAAAATTTAAAACTCACCACACAGCGCCATTTTTTGTGAGATTAACTAGTTTCAGTTGTTTATTTAAAAATACAAATGTTAAAAATAAAGCTACTTGAACAGATTTAATTTTTAATCCCTATATGTAATTTTTTATTTTGATTTTTATAAATTCTTTACCCCTTGATTTAAATTTAACCCTCAAACTAATAATATTTTGAGAAAAGTAGTAAAAAAAAATATAGATTTAAAATTTTGATGCAATTTAACAAAAAGTGACTTTAAACTATTACAATTTAAAAAAAATGTATTTTATTAAAAATGTGGAATTAAAAGAGGATAGGGTGATTCGAACTGATTTTTGTGTTCCGGGAAAAAATGCTATGTTTTGTTTGGAACTTAATTAGCTCACTGTTGTGTGTCTACCATTACAGAAATACAATTCCAATTCACTTGTATGTAAGACATGTTAACTCGATTCTATGTTGGGGTACCTTATCATAGATGAAGGTTGACACTGTTGATAGCTATCATCCCCACATCCACGTGTTCCATTTTTAAATTCAATTCTGGCAATGGTTTCTTTAATAATCATTTAAAAAATGCTTGAAAAACATTGTTTCAGGAATTCTTTGAAAGTAATATAGAATACTTTTTGTAGCAGTTATTTGAAAGTGAGCAATAAAGTGTATAATTCTTTTAGCTTAAAATGTTTCATAGCAAGTAATTTTTTTTTAGTCTTGGACAAAGTACTTCTAAAACATGATTTAAAGGTTTTAAGAAATTTCTATACTTGCATACTTCCCCTCCCCTTAAAACAACATATCCGGAGTCCATTACATTATTAACACAAATTATTCTGTTTTGAAAATTCGAGTTTAAATTGACATAAAAACACTTGTATATGTTAAACGTAACTCTGTACCAACACTACCTGTGGATATTCTAGGGTGGGTAAAAGAATACCTTTCAATGTCTGATTCCGTCTTTATTATGGAATCTGTTATTTTGGAAGTAAAAGTGTAATAATCTGGGCAGTCATCGTGTGTAATGGCCGTATGATCTTTTGTGCTTGTTAAAGTGTTACTGATAAGAACATAGAGATGTGTTCATGGAGCCCTGTTCTCGCTTTTTAGGGAATTTAATTTGATATGTTTTCATTTGAATAGACGACAGAAGGGAATGACAAAGACTTCATGTTCAGGATTCCTTTGAATGTGATTATATTTGCTAGGAACTTGCCAGTCAGTTCTCCAGGCCTGAATACAATAGAAAATGCTCTGGTTAACTTCAGCAGATAAGTTGCTACTATTTTCTTTCTTCAACTGTCATTAAAAAAGTTTCGTCAAGAGCCATTTCTGTGTTCAACAATTTAAATGGCTGCATAGAATGTCGAAGTAGAGCTTACCAAAATTCATTTTCTTATAAAGTTTCAGAGACAATTTTTCTACTAAAATTGTAATATACTGTATTCTCTAATTCTAAAAGGTATTGTTCTGCCAAGTGTGCTATTGTTTAACATATTTTTATAAGTCATCTTCGTGTTTCAATTCATTTCAACTTCCATGTAGCATTCCATAGAAAAAAAAATGTTTATTGCACATATTAGTGCACATTTCTTGTCTCTATCATAATCATTCATTTTCCGATTTGACACAGAAGCAGGTCATACCCAACTTTAGGACTAGTGTATATATTTATAACAAATAATATACTATGCAAACTATTACCTATTCGTACACAACTATTTTGTTTACACATACTCAAATGGAATGATTTTTTTAGAAAATGTTTTAGCTTCATACTAAATGTATAACAAAAATTCTACCATTCTTATGAAAAACATATATTTGGAAATATTAAGTAAATCTTTTCTTCTCATAAAACAGTTTTAAATCTTTCAAAACAATTTCAAATTTTCGCGTAAACCAGTTTGTAAGAATTCAATAATTGTAACATTTGAAATAAAATAACTGAATTTATTAAAATCCTTGATTTTTTTTAAAGACTATCCAAAAAATAATTTATCGGAAAACGATAACAAAAACAGTTTTTTAAAAATATATGCTTCTGAAATTGAATTTAATTCCATGTTTAATTTTTTACAAACAATATAAATAAAACAAAGTTGTTCGTAATAAAATAAAGTTGTTACTATTCTACAGATTTTAAAAAGCTGCCAATGTTTACTTAAAATAACAATTTGCCTTACAAACAACCTCAAATATTTCAAGTGTAGAAATTAATTAAACATACTTTTTTTTTCTCTTTTCAATAAACATCTATAGAAAAAGACGTCGTAGCACAAACGAAATTTTGTGCTTAAGTATTATTGACATTCACAAAAAAAGGAAATGCATAATAAAGATTTTTTTGAATAACTCAAATAATTTGCTTACTTTTTTGAATAGAACAGTTCGTAAAAGAGTTTCTTTAAACTCAATTCTGTTTCACTTACACTTTAATTTGGTCTTTCACAATGAAGTTCCATTAGGAAACTAATTCACCTGTAAAGGAAGAAAAATTAAAAATAAGTTTCTTTATTGCAGTAATTAAGTAATTTAATGGATTCATTGCTAAATGTTGAACGATGTTGGGGAAAAAAATCTTTGGTCTTTATTCAACATACAAATTAATTTTCTTTTTCTTTATGAATAGAAAGACAAAGACTTCGATTATCTTTTATACCATGGATGATTAACTAGTTCGCTCGTGTGTATGATTTTCAATTTCTTACCTCATATAAAACGAAAAAAAAAGGAAACCCAAGAATTTTAATGAATGTTTTATGCGATTTAATAAAGCAATAAGCAAGTTCTTTAAATATTCCATCAAACTTAATGGGGGTGATTTTCAATAAACTGAAATGATTTTAAGGTTTCGTTTATTTTCGTAATTTGCACTTTAGGAAATTTGCATTTTTATATTTTGATAGAACAGAGACTTATTTTTTTAATTATATGCAATTATTATTAAAATATTGAGGAATGCTTTTTCTGAGAGTGGTAGAAATAGTTTTTTTTCCAATATCATACAATTATTATATTATTTGTTAAAATAACTCGATAGATATTTGAGATTTCATGGACATATATTTATGTTTTTTTTTGCAGCAATAAATAATTTTACTGCAGTAATTGAATAATTTTAGATTTATTGCTAAATGTTAGAAAAATTAAGTTCTTTATTAAAGTAATTAAGTAATTTATTCAGCATTCTAAATGTTGAAGAATGTTAAGGAAAAAAGTAGCTGGTTTTCATTTAGCACACAATTTGAGTTCCGAGTAGTAGAAATAGTTTTTTTTTACATAATCATTTAGTATATTATTTGTTAAAATGCTCGATAGAATTTGAAATATTCTAATCTAAAAATATATATTTATGTTTCTTTACAGTAATTAATAATTTTATAATAGTAATTGAATAAACTCATAGATTTATTGCGGAATGCTAAGCAATTTTGAAGAAAATTATATTAGATCTATTATGTTCTAAAATATATTCTTTATTTTAATTATTAAAAAATTTAATGAATTTGCTAAATATTGAAGAATGTTAAGGGGAAAAAAGTCTCTGGTTTTTGTTCAGCAGACATGTTATATTTCTTTTCCGAATGAAAGAGAAAGAGAGTAAGTATCTTTATGAATCACTTATAATTCGCTCTTGTGAATGTTTTTAAGTTTCTTAAATCGCAAAAATCGAGAAAAAATTTAAACCAGGAATTTTAATGAACGTTTTATGCTAATTACACAATGAAGAAATAAACAAGTTTTCTAAATTTTGCCAAGGAATTAAAGGTGCAATTTTCAATAAACTAAAATAATTGCAAGTTTTTTCTTATTTCTCAATTCGCGTTTTAGAAAAATTGCAATTTTGTATTTTGATTGTATATATAGTTTTTATCTTCTGATTACCCGCTATTATTATTGAAATATGCAAGCCTTGAACTTTATAAATTTCATAGTAGAGCTATTTTCTTCATGGATTTTTACTATAGTTTGTGTTAAAACATTTAAATTTTTGAAATTTTATAATGAATACTTGTAGTCTTACAAATTTTCTAATTTGAAACTATTTTCATGAATATAAAAGCTATAATGAAAAAAAATCATGTCTTAAGAAATGCCTCATTACCTTAAGAAATATTAATTGTTCCTCATTTTATGCTTTTATAGATGGTAAGCTTCCTTTTTTTTAATATTTTCGATTAAAAATAGAAGAAAAGAGTTTGCTAGAGTTATTTTTTGAAAACTGGAAGCAATTTAGTTCAAAATACTCGAAGCATTATTAATATTTAGTAAGGTATACAATTTAAATGTGTTACTTTACGAATTTTCATTTTTAAATTTCAACCTTCTATATACTTTGGCAAGCTATATAATAATATAGTTACAGCAAGACAAATATTTAATTTACTAAATATTTGTTATTCGGTTTTTAAAGAGTTTCTTTGAAAAGATATATTTTAAATAAGCAGTGAAAGTATTGAAGATACATTTTTATATTTCCTATAGAGTTTTTGAATAAAGCATTAGGAAGAATAAACTATTATATCTATCTACACTTTAGTTATTAAAATTCACTGAAAAAATAAATAAATAAACTGTTTTAAAATTTTTTCCTATTTTCGTAACCAATACTCTTATTATAAATGTTTAAAACTTCTTATCAAAAGGGGAAAAAATCATATTTGTTGTTGAAATTAAAAATATATATACATATAAAAATTACTAAAGTTTCAAGGAATATTGACGAAGAAGTCATGATTAAAAACAACAATCCCTGTGTGATTTCAGAAGGAAGTGTGATGAGTTGAAAGGTGATTATAACGATTTAAAGTTGAATTTGAAAATGATACTGGCCTTGATGTNTTGCTTACTGTGTTCTATGTTGTACCATCACATGTGGTCCATATGTTGTACCAGCAGTAAGCAAAAGGTTAATTAATGGCTGCTAATATTCTTAGTTTTCAGATTTATTGGCAAAGCTGCTAGAAGTATATATTACGAACGATGATTACTGAACACTTGGTTAGGGTGAGTATAAAAGTATCGTAAGATTTTATATATTATATTTTAGTATTTTTCAACTAAAAGCTAAGTATTCAACTCCATGCACAAACTAAAGTAATTTTATTTAATGTATTTTCGTTAACTTTGAAATTCATTTATTGTTTTGTATTTTGAAAATTGATATGCATGAATTACACAAATTCAAGCGTGTTAGATTAAAATCAAAAGAAGTGTAAAATCTGTATTTCTCTATGTACATTTATCTTATTAACCAAATCTGTCTTTTCACTTTTAGACCATATATTTTAAGGAAAATGTGTATAAAAGAAAAAAAGGGGTTTAATATTTTTTTCGGCTCAAAGGTTTTCAAAACAACTAGCCATAATCTAAGCTAACCAATTCCTTTTTCCTACCACGTTATAGTAAAGACTTCAAAAAGAATGTGACAAATAAAATCTTTGAAACAAGGTAAGAGAAGATTCTTTCCATTTCGTCTCAAACTATCCATTTTATCAGCTTTCGTATATATACACTACAACTTCATCGCCAAACAACTCGACCGCAAGGAAACAAGTTGGCGATGAACATGCAAAACCATTTCACGAAAGCCCTACCACATATTATTTTCTTCCTCAGCTTACCAGACCTATCCACCAGATACCCGCCTTCTGCAAATTGGGTACTAAACCCAACACCTTGCTCAGAGCAGAGAAAACGAGTTCCCCTTTTTTTCAAAGGAGGCAAGGAATAATAACACCTGAAAAAAAATGTATAGAAGAAGCCCAAAAGAAACATGATCGAGTATTCTTGTTTCCTGTAACGCCATATCCATGAATAATACTTCCTGAAAAAGTCAGTGCATACGATCTGGCAAGAAAATAAAGGCAAGCCTCCTGCCATAAATCCTCTTGAGCGGATTCTTCTCTTTCTTTCTATCTATCTCGACATTCTTTCTCTCATTCCCTTCTTCTGTCTTGCCAGTGTCGTTGTCTCTGAACGCTTTTGCTTTTCCACCAAGAAAATTCATGTGTCGCCGCCAGATGCAAAACAAGAATTCATTTCGGAACGGCAGGAAAAAGTGGTATAGTAATAGGAATAAGAAAAAAATGGCGAAGGAAACTAAACGCTGTGGATGTCTTGGATGAGTGTGCTTTCGCTTTATTTTCCTTATAGACTCTCTTTTCTTGTTGGTTTCGTCGGACTGAGATTAAGAAAAACAAATTTTGTGTGGTGCATTGTTTTTTTTTAGCTGTTCGTAAAGTTGCATTCTTGTTTTATTAAAAAAATTGTGATGAGATATGTCTTTAAATAAATAATAATGAGCATACATTGCAAAAAAAGTGTAAAAACAAATACCATGAATCTTTAGTAAAATTGCTGCAATTTCATATCGGTGTCTGAAACCAATTCAAGTCTAGGCCAGTGGTTCCCAACCTTTTGTGGACCATCTTCCCCCTCTTGAAGTTGACTGAAACATATCGTCCCTTTCTCTTTTTTCTCAAAAAACCATTCATTATTGCTTGTGAGCAATCAAACACTGAAAATATGCTATGTTATTTGATTTTAATTTAAATTGTAATGCAAATAAGGAGCCACATTTATCCTGTCGTTTTTATTAATTAAAAAATATTGTGCATCTATTTCCAAAAAGAAATGATATTTAAAACGTAATAATCAAAACAAAAGTACATTTTTTAAAATTCATACTTTAATGTAATCAAGAAAAAGTTAAAAGGTTAACAACTAAAATTTGAGAAAAAAATGAAGAGGGAGAAAGTACATTTTTACCACTTCAATGACTGCCCTGTGCTTGGTGTATTTCAAGTTAAAGCTTGAATGTCAGGTTTTATGCTCGTCAGATTTAAACGCGGGTCTCCTTTGAAGCAAATGTCCAACCTATCTCTTTGCTTTGTGAGCAGCTGGAAGACAGAACTAAATCCTCTCTCCACTAAATATGTTGACGGGAACGAGATGAGAAGCGGCTCAGTTTGTTTCCACAATTGTGGATAAGTGTCCATAAGCTTTACCCAAGCTAACTCGTAACCGTATTTTTTAAAGACGACTTTAGCCTCACAGTCATACTTCAAATCTAAAATCTCAGTCTACAAAGAGGAAGTGAGCTTATCCACAACTTCAAAAGAGAAAGGATCGAAAATCCAATCCGGAATTTCTAATTTCATCAAATCTTTAAATCTTGATTCCATAACTGATCGAGGTGATCAGTAAAAATTAAGATTTTATTTTCGAGAATCTCTATATCTGCCATTGAACACTTTTTAAGAGTTGGAAATTGCATTAGCTCTTTACGACCAATGTTTGACTTGTAGATATCAAACTTGGCGATGAATGAAGATATGATTCCCTTAGCCTTGATAATGTTCATTTTACTTCATTTCCTTCATTTTCAAAGAAAAAAAGACAGAATATTCTGCATTTGCTAATCCTACGAGAAAATATCAGTTTTCTCAGGTTCAACTGTTAAAATTAAAAATTTG